TGCTGAAACACATGAGAAAGGAAAAATGAGTTTGGACTAAGAAATTTAAAATCTGCCTTACCATTTTTCAGATACAGACAATAGACACAGATAAAGCCAGCTGTAAAGTTAACAGAAAATAGTATTTATCTCAAGAACGTGCTATACATTACTTACAATAGCCAAGTTTTTGAAGCAGCCCAAGTGTCCATCAGTAGATGAGTGGATAAAAAGGCTGTGGTATGTTTACACAACGGAATACTACTGTGCCATCACAAGGAAGAAAATGTTACCTGGAGAACATTATGTTAAGTGAAATAAGCTGGTCAGAGAAAGACAAGTAAATTCCACTTACATGTGGAATTTAATGAACAAATTGAACTACCAAGCAAAATACTGTCAGACTCATAGATTGAGAACAGGCAGACAATTCTGGTGGGGGTGGGGAGATTGAGCAAAAAAGAATGAAAAAGAGAACTCATGGACATGGACAAGTGTGGTGATTGTAGGAGAGCAGGGAGGAGGTAGAAGAGGGATAGAGAGGTTAAATGGTGATGGGAAAAAAAAAAAGAACATGCTGTAAAGTGTCACAACTCCCCACCACCACCACCAACTAGAGAAACTACTGCTTTTTCACTTACAGAGAACCCTTTCCTGTATAATCACAAATTGTTAAAAACTTGCTCTTTGAAATCTTTTTATTAGGACTGAAATATCCTACTCTTGACTAGAAGATCTAAGTCACTGACACAAAGAAACGGCCTCCACTTCCAACCTGGAACAGTCAGAAAAATGGTTTGTGGAAACCATAAGTTACTGGAGTAAAGGTGTCTGTTTGCCTTCATGCACAAAAGCCCAAAAAGATACAAACAGGAATTTGTAGCAAAGAAAGCAAGGGTTTATTTTTAAGACTTGGCCCCTGCCTGGAGTCACAGATGAGCTAATGCTCAAAGACCTGGCTCCCTGACGGCATGGGGGATGGGTTATATAGGTGACAAGTCATTGATTATGATGACTAAGGGAGTTAGGGTCATGGTTTCTACTGATTGGTCAGAGCTAGGGTAGTGGGTATTTGATCAGTGCATCTGGTCCTGATGTCAGCCATGGCATTGCTTCATCTGGTTACCCAAGCATGTGGTTGGTGGGGTTTTTCTGGAGCTGAAACAACTGAGGTCTAGATGTTATCTCTGGTTTGACTAAAACTCCATCTCTGGGGTCAACAGACCTGAGGCTTTGTTCCTAAGATTATCTGATGCTGATCAGAATCTCATTTTCTTAAAGGCTTAAAGATTGAAGGAGTGGTCCTGCAAGGGAGAAGGAGGCAGGTACTTCAGGGTGGTGGATTAAGTCAATTTGAATAAAAAGGAAAGAAAGGAAAAGGTCATATTAAATAAATTCAGTTTCTACTGAGTTACAAATACACACCTATTTAAACTTTTTAGTTTTCAATAAAACAGCACCCTGGGTCCATGTTCCGGACAAAATATAGACCCCCTTTACATACAGCCTTGCTTTCTTTTGAGCCTATAAAACCATTTTAAAACTTCATTTTAATTTCTCTTAAACTCCACACTACTCCAAATTTCTATAATAAACCTCTTTTCCTTTGTTTGGTATTTCATAGTTCTTCTGGAATGTGGACACTCTCCTTGCAATGGGCCAGAAAACTGACTTTCTTGAAATATAGTTTTTTTCCTAGGCTTATTGGACTATAAAGTCTGCCTCACACTAATAGTTCAGGAATATTAATTTCACATAAAAATTAGCAACAAAAAAGTATCAAGTTTATGTCCTATACAAAGTTATTATAAAAGAGAATAAGGAGCAAATGTCGTCATTACGGATAACGAAAGCATGCCTGAAAGATGTGCAGCAAAATAGATCAAAACTGTTACTATTTTGAAACTAGCTAAATGAGATTAAGAAAATGATACAAGATATTAAAAACAACATGATTTAGAATTTTAAAACCTCAGTTAATTAACTCAATGAAGGATCTTTTTACAGTGTATACATATATCAAATCATCACACTGTACACTTTAAATATCTTAGTTTGATTTGTCAATTATACCTCAAGAATGCTGGGTGAAATCAGAAAAACTTGGAAATGAGGTGACAGAAAATCAGGAAAATTAGTTACAAAGAATAAACTAGAAGGAACACGAAAGCTAATTAACAAAAAAAGATTGCTTGTTTGTTTTTTCCATAAGAATCTGTGCCAGTACTTAGGTTGATGCTTCTCTAGTCACTTTGGTTATCTGACACTCACCCTCTAATAATTCTTTAGGAAGGACTCATGGGAACAATCATCTCATTAAATGTTGATATCATATCAAGTGTTGATAACAGTTTATACCCTTTGTACATGAGAGTTGGTTTTGCTGGATATTAATTCCTTGGTCACACTTTTTCCCTTGAATATCCGAAAAGTCATTCTATTTTCTTCTGGCAAAAAAAACAAAACAAAACTCCATTATCATTAATTCTTAAAAAACTCCCTTTGTTTGGGGAGTGTAGAGGGATAGGGAAGGAGCTACAAAACTTTAAGATACAAGAATCACTACTTTTTAAACTCTTATTTATTTCAGAGTGGAGCTTGTCATGCCAGAACTTGTATTTTACATGTATTTTTTTTTTCTTTTATTGAGTTACATGTATTTTTAAGCTGTGTTATTCAATAATAAAGTCAGGACTCAAAAAAAGAAAAAGTTTCATTGTCAAAAATCTGATGGTATTCCAATTTTCTTTTCCATTTTGCAATGTGACAAAACATTAAAATCTACTAAATCTAGGTATCTGTTATACTATATGTTTGGAATAATTTATGCTCTATTTCACCAAATCTAAGATGACTTTAATTTTAAGAACCCATTATTTTCTGGATTTATAAAAAAGAAAAAATACATTCTAATTTCAGGGGTGTTAAAATGTCAAGAAATATGGGTCTCACGTGAAATACACTACATTCATTTTATGTTGCTAAATAACAAAATACCATAAACATAGTGAGTTAAAACCACATTAATTTATTAGCTCATAGTTCTTCAGGTCAGAACTGGGGGCACAGCATAGCTGAGTTCACTACCCAAAGCCTCACAAGGTTGAAATCAAGGTATCAATCAGCTGACTGTGCTCTGATCTGAAGCTTAGGTCTTCTTCCAAGCTCACATAGATTGTTGGCCAAATTTAGTTCTTTGTAGCTGTAGGCCAATGTCCCCTTTTCCCTGTTGACTGTCAGCTAGAGGAAACTCTCAGTAACTGGAGGTCATTCCCATTTGTTTCTATGTGGTCCCTTCCCTCTCTCAAGCCAGCAAAGTAGAATCTCTCTCACATCAAATTACCCCTTATACTTTGAATCTCTTTCTCGAGGAAAAACCCAGTCCCTTTTCAAGGTAGACAGGCAATATTCAAATAAACAAATAAATATACACCAGAAGGTGATAAGTGCTTTAAATAGAAAATAAAAGAAGTTTACACTTGCACTTCCCTCTGTCCAGAATAGTCTTCTGCTAGAATATATAACAGGGCTCACATAATTTAAGTTTGGGCTCAAATTTCACTTTCTCAAATAGGCCCTCCATGACTACCTAAAATTGTCTCCCTCCTCCTCCTCAAGTCTCTTTCTATCTTCTTACTCTTTTTTTATTTTCTTCATCATATTTACTTTCTAAAATTATTTTATTTACTTTCCATTTTTTGGCTTTCCACAATGAGATGAATGAAAGCAAGGATCACTTATCTCTATCACCTGATCATTGTCAAGCCATTAGATCCTAAAGTTTAAGAGGCATTCAATATTTAGAAAGGAAATAAAATAGGAAGGGAAATTGGAGGAAAATAGAGAAATTGGCATTATCTGTGGAGTGGGCCAAAGATATGTATATTTATTGACTTTAGAATAAAAGGATGGAGTATAAGCCTAGTGCTGGAGCAGAACCTTGAAAAAACGGAACATAGACAATATGATTTTAGTGGTTATGTAGAAAAGGTACACAACTGATTTGATAAACCTGAATGATGCCATAGATGAACAGCATGAAGTTTTCAGATAATTGGAAATGTACAATTTTGAAAAGAGAATAGAGAGGCATAAGGGGCAACACAGTTTTTTCTGGATCCTCCGTTCACACAAGAGAGGGAAAAAGTTCTAAGTAAGTAAAAATATCACACATTTCAAAAGATGATGTGATACATATAAAGTCAAAGTATATGTCAATTTAAAAAATCCTACAGATGTTTCAACTATACACTGTTATTCAGAATGAAAGACAAGTCCTAATGTTATTGGGTCCCACTAATTCTTGTTTTCTGAGAAAGGTGAAAGGGGAGTCAATAGAAAGAGAATTAGATGAAAGGTCTTTAGACGTGTGTTCTGGTACTTAACCTGGTAGTGACTAGCTCTGTGACCAACTCTTTGCCCTTGACCAAGCCACTTAAACTGACTTTTAAGTTCCTTTCCTCCTTCACCCATAAAGTGAAGGGGGCAAAGTGATTGAAATAATGCCATTTTATAGCTCTAATAACCACGATTCTATTAAATCTGTGACGGTGCTTGACATGTAGCATACACCCAAAATTAACTGTCAAACGTATAACGTCTTGAAATGGAATTCCAGGCTGAAAACCTGGGGGAGCTACCTATCACTAGTCTTTGGTATATAAAACGAAGGCGTCTCCACTTTTCGCTACAAAACGCAGTGATTTTGATGCGCAGCCCCAATATTTCGCTGGCCACTGGAATCCTCTGTGCTTGGCTGTGGAGCCAGAGCTGACGGGTAACTTGACCGTTTTGATCTCCCCTTCATCTGCCGAACCCCTGTCACAGCAGTGCCACTCACTGCAGCCACCTGCAGCAAAGCCCGCCCCGCGGCCACACCCAAACCGGAAATCAGGACGCCCCTGGGGTTGACGGGAAGGCGCGGCGGGCTGCGCGCTTCCCCAGGCCCGCCCCCTCCGGTGATGTCACCGCCCGCCCCTTGACCCCGGCGGCCCCACCCCCTTTCCTGCCTGCTCGTAGCCTGCGGCCGCGGCGCTCTTCTGGAGGCAATGGAGGGTTCTGAGCCCGTTGTCGCACCTCAGGGGGAAGAGGCGTCCTGTTCTTCCTGGGGGACCGGCAGGTGAGAGGACGAGAGGGGGCGCGAAAAGGCGAGGGGTGGCGGGCAGGACCGAGCGCCAGCTTTCTGCTTCACATCAGTCGAGCAGGGAGCGCTCGGGAGGCCGCGGGGCCGGGGCAGAACCGGCCTTGGGCGGCGAGGGGAGGCGCCGGGTGGGTGTGGTGGCCTGGGCTCCGGCCTCTGGGGCTCCCGCTTCGCTGAGGACGGAGTCCACTTCTCCTCCCTGCCTGCGTTTTCTCAGTTCCGGTTGGGTCCCCGGACGGGAAGGGTGGCGGGAGGAGGGCTCCGGCCGAGAGTCCTGGCCCGGTCCCGTCGTGAGAGCTCCCCAGACCTGTTGCCGAACACCCCTCCTTTCGGGTAAATGAAAGCTGAGTTCCGCTGTGCGCGATCCTCCACTGCGAGCCTCCTTTGAAAACTATTACCGGAGGGAACTTGGTAGTAATGGATCAGTGACAGGACACCCTGAGGACCTCTGGACTACAGGAAAAAAAAAAAAAAAAAAAAAAGAATTTTTTTTCAGGAAAAAAGGCACGAGTTACCCCTTCTTATATCCCAGTTGGTGTTGAGGTTCTTGTCCACTCCTGGAAAATTGGGTGGCGGGGCGGGGGTGTTCGCGTAGTGCCGGTTTCAGTCATCTCATAATGAACAGAGCGGATTGTCGCATCCTGCCCACTACCAGGACACAATATGCCAAAGATAGACGTGGTGGGTATAAACCTGTAGCCTTTTCAAGAGTTTCAGACTGAAGGGGTGCTTCTGGTAGCATGGAATTGCCAACACTGCCAAATACATGTGGGGCATATTATACAATACAAAGAGAAACTCCCCTGCTTGACTGCGTTTTTGATGACCACACCGACCTTACTACAGAAATGATTTTTGAACCATTCCAGGAAGGCAGAAGTTTCTGAAAAGCAAATGCCAGTCATGTTAAATGACAGAGCCGATGAGCTTGTAGCGCTTCACGTTTTAACTTAAGAGCTTTACCCGCTAGACTTTTGCCCTGCATGCAAGGAAGACAGCTAGAGAAGTGTACTAAGGATGAGAAAACTATGTCATACGAAATTTTGTTCATTTTCATATTTTGTTACAATGCCAAAACAGGTTATTATAGTGGATATGTACATTTTTATTAGATAGTTGATCTGTTAAACATAACTATCTTCTGGCTTACTTTCATAATTGCAATCAGGACTCTTCTAATAGTGTCCATTTAATTGGCTAGAAGTTGATATCATTTAATGCTACCAATCAATGTGTGGTATGATCAATGATAACATTTTGATTAACCATATTTACAAATCCTTTGGCTTATATATCAATACCAGGCCTAAAAATTTGGATTCTAAAACTGAACTTCGTGCTATCACATTAGTTTTAGAATCCTGTAATTGATAATTAGAGCTTCCCAGAACCTGAAATGGATTACACTTTTACTAAGATGATATTGATCTTCGCTGTCACTGTGGCTGAGACCCAAATGCCTCAAGCTGGTTCCTTCCCTCTGTCAGGGAACCATCTGTTTCCCCTTGCTTATCCTATTACCATTTTTCTTTATATGCTGTGAAAAAATCGGGATGAGCTATGGTAAATGACACATCACTATTTGTATGTCTTGTCACACTAATATATTTAACTTATTTTTTTCTTTTCTTTTTTAATCATCACCCAAGGATATTTTTCTCTTCATCTTCAGATAGAGTGAGAGGGAGAGAAAGGGAGAGAAAAACATCGATGTGAGAGACACAACGACTTGTTGCCTCCCACACGATCCAGACCAGGGCCAGGGATGAACCACAACTGAGGTACATACCCTTGGCCGGAATCGAACCCCTGACTCATTGGTCCTTGGGCCGATGCTCTCCCACTGAGCCACACTGGTCAGGGCTAACTTTTAAAATTTACTTAACAGCCTGGCTGGTGTGGCTTAGCGGTTGAGCGGCGACCCATGCACCATGAGGTCACCAGTTCCATTCTCTGTCAGGGCACATGCCCAGGTTGTGGGCCCAATCTCCAGTGAGGGGCATGCAGGAGGTAGCCAATCAGTGTTTTCTCTCATCGATGTTTCTCTCTCTCCTTCCTTCCTCTCTCTGAAGCAATAAAGAATAAAAATTTACTTAACAGACATTTTTTGAGTGCTTTCTTTATGCCCACTATGTAAGAGGCAGTAGGCAGTATAGCATGGTGCCCAAGAGCTAGACTGCATAGGTTCAGATTCTGGCTCTGCTATTTACTTCCTCTGAGTTTAGGAAGGGTATTTAAGTCAGCCTCAGTATTTTGTTCCTTTTTCTGTTTGTTCAGTGAAGATGGTAATAGTGACTATTTCATGAAGTTGTAGGCATTAACTGAGTTAGTACATCTAAAGCATTTAAAACAATGTGGGCACAGTGTTAACTCTTATTATTAAATGCCAGCTCTTTTAGGTATTTGGAATACAGTTGTGATTTCTTAATGGATTATACATTCTATAGGGGAAAGCAGATAATAAACAGTTAATGATAAGTGATTTGAGGAAAAGACAACAGGTTCATGAATAAAGAAGTGACCTAAGGAGAAGAGGAGCTGTTTCATTGATAGGGTAATCGGGAATGGTCTGTGTAATATCTGTGAGGCAGTATTTTAATAATTCAGAGATCTGAAGGAAAAACATTCCAAGCAGATGGAATAGCAAGTGTAAAAACTAAAGTGATAGCAAGCTTGGCTTTTTGAGGAACAGCAAGTAGGCCAGCATGGCTGAAGATAGTGAGCAAGGAGAGTTGTGGGAGTTGAGGTTGGAGAGGTAGACCACAAAGGCCCTTTTAAGCATGGTAAAGTATTTGAATTTTATTCTTAGAATCAAAGGGTAGTTCTAAGTTGGGGAGTAATATTAGTTTGAAAGGTATCAGCTATTATATAGAGAATAAACTGAAGGCGGACCATAGTATAAATAGAGAAACTAGTGAGGAGGCCTTTGAAGTAGTTTAGATGAAACATGATGGTGGTTTGGCCTGAGATTATACTGATTAAAATAGTGAGAAGTGATCAGATTTGAGATCTCCTTTGAAGGAAGAGGTAACAGGACACACAAATGGAGAAAATGAGGGAACAAATTAAGAAGATCCCTAGATTTTTTGGCCTGAGCTAGTAAATGATAGGTAGTACCAGAAACTGAATTGGGAAGCACTGGGGAAAAATAGATTAAGTAAGGGGAATTGAATTCTGTTGTGAGCTTGTTATGTTTATGATACCAATTGGACATCACAAGAGAGATATTGTTCTGGCAGATGTGTAACATTTGGAGGTCAGAGGAGAGATCAAACATGGAGAAATAAGTTCAGATATCAGTATATGGTAAATTCCATGGATTGAATGAGATTATCTAGGGAAGGTTTATGGGACACTCCAACAAAATTACTAAAATATAGATCCAACAGAATATATGCATTGATGATAAAACAACATCTGAGAATAAAACAACCATGGGCTATAATTTTGCAGTACACACAGAGTAGGCAACCAGTAAATTTAATTTTGGCCTTTTTTTTTTTTTCCCCTCACCCGAGGACATTCCTTCATCTTTTATTCAGATAGAGTGAGAGGGAGAGAGAAGGGGAGAGAGAGAGAGAGAAACATTGACATGAAAGGGACACATCGAGTGGCTGCCTCCCGCACAACCCAACCAGGGCTGGGGACAAACTGCAACCGAGGTACGTGTCCTTAGCAGAAACCGAACCCGGGTCTCTTTAGACCGCAGGCTGACGCTCAAACCACTGAGCAAACCGGCCAGGGCTGGCCTATTTTTTAAATGCAAATAAAGTGGTAGATAATACATATGTATCTGATCTGTAAAACCTCCTTTAGTAACTGGTGAATCTGATCCCATGTGTAATTGAATTTTACGTTATAGGATGTGAATATTGAAAAACTGTGCTTACTCTTATAAACTGTGTTTTATTTTTTCAGTACAAATACACATTTGCCCATCATGTCAGCAGAATCTGTGGAGATTGATGATGCATTATACAGGTAAGAACCTTATGGAAACTGAAAGTTATTTTCCCCATTCTTTGTTCTCAAATAATGAAGTATTTTATTTGAGGATACCATTAGACCTATGCTGAGTTTTGTAAATATATCTTAAGAGTTACTCTTTAATTAAAATTAAGGCTTCTGTATGTAGTCTGAGCACTAGAATAATACTTAAATCTCAATTGCTGTAGGCGATATGACTAAGAATGAACCTGCTATCCACTACAAAATATACCTCATGGTTTTAGACAGGAATATATATTTATGTTCTTGATAGTGCGGGACTGTCATGAAAACAATCCATCCCACTTTAGTTAGTTATACAGTAGCATCTGGAGAATGTTTACTTCAATGTAATATTATTAATAACATTGAACATTTGCACTACATAAATAGAGAAGTATTGTGTGATTGAAGAGCTGTGGTTTGAATGGAATTTAGTGGAATTTTTTCTTGAAATCAAAATAGTTTTTTCGAAATTAAAAACATGTATGTTGTTACTGCTCCTAAGAAATCTTTTGGTACTTCAAGTTGTTTGTATGTAAGATAGTATAATCTCAGTTTAAAAGTTTTTAGGTTTCCTCTCAAATCATGAAAAATAGATTTTATGTAAATACAATTTGGGAAGATAAGCTTATTATGTATTGTGAATTTCTCTCTCTCTCTCTCTATATATATATATTTATATATACACATACATATTTGTTGTAGTTGTTGTTAATCCTCCATGGAGGATATTTTTTTCCATTGATTTTTAGATAGAGTGGAAGGAAGGGGGGGAGTGGGGAAAGAAAGAGAGAATGAACATTGATTTGAGACACATTGATTGGTTGTTTCCTACACATGCCCCAACTGGGGCTGAGTATCAAACCTGATGCCCACTTATGTGCCCTTGACTGGGAGTTGAACCTGCAATCCTTCGGAGCTAGAGCTGACACTCTAACCATTGAGCCACACTGACCAGGGCACCTCTTTATATATTTATTATGTGGGTTGCAGTGTCATTTTTGAGCACTTTAGGAGGAGCTAATATGTTGATTTTAAATCTGTTTTGTTCTATTCTCTTGGAAACAAGTAATGAAAGACTAACAGTTTTGCTTATGTGAACATTATTTTACCATTTATTCTCCAGATTATCAATATACTTCAGAAGTCACCTTAGGTTTGGACTTTTAATCTATAATTATGATTTCTTAATGTCCTTTTGATCACATTTTTGGGATAATAAATGGCGGCTCTTTGAGCTCTTTGGCTAATTATTATTCATTATTTAGTTAAAATCCCTGTGAAACTTTTATATCCCTCTAACCCAGTAATTGCTGATTAATGAATGTAATCTTCAGTAAACCAGAGATTAATTTTTCACGTACAGTGCTATATAAGTAGGCTGCAGTTTGCTTGACTGAAAGTTATAGAATATAACATTTTAGTTATGATACATAGCAGTTCAAAAATAATCAGGTAATGCTGGGTCATAAGGTAGTTCTATTTTAAATTTTTTAAGGAACACCCAAACTATTTTCCATTGCCTCTGGACCATTTTACATTCTCAACAACAGTACACAGGATTCAGATTTTTCCACATCCTCAACAACACTTACTGTTTTCTGGGGTTTTGTTTTGTCTTTTTGTTTGGTTTGGGTTGGTTTGGTTTGGTTTGGTTTGGTTTTATAATGACCATCGTAACAGGTATGAAGTGATATTGTGGTTTTGTATGTCTCTTGACAATTAGTGATGTTGATCACCTTTTCATAACATAACATTTGTCTGTGATCTTTGAAGAAATGTCTATTCTAGTCCTTGCTCATTTTTTAATGAGGTTATTTTTTTTTTATTATTGAATTTTAGTTCCTTATATATTTTGATATATTTTGGGTAGTAGCCCCTTATCAGAAACATGGTTTGCAAATATTTTCTCCCATTCTGTAGTTTGGGTTTTCACTTCGTTAGTTCTTTTGCTATGCAGAAAGAAGCTTTTTAGTTTGAGGTAGTCCCACTTGTCTATTTTTGCTTTTATTGCCTGTGCTTTTGGTGTCACGTCCAGGAAATCTTTGCCAAAACCAATGTTAAGCTCTTCCTCTGTTTTCTTCTAGGATTTTTATAGTTTCAGGTGTCACACTTAAGTCCTTAATCCATTTTGAATTGATTTTGTGTGTGGTATAAAATAAAGGTCCAGTTACATCTTTTGTATGCATATATTCAGCTTTCCCCACTCCATTTGTTAGCCTCAACGTACTGTGCCATTTCCTCTGAATACACTGGCCATGCTAGACTACTTTCATACCAAACATACTTTATACTTTTACATCTAAATTGTCTATTTCTAGAGCTTCATCTTGTGCCACAAAATTACCTTCTACTTATTAAGACTCACTCAAATGTCTACTCTGATATCTTACCTAAGTTATTTCTAATCCTTTTGGCTCGGTCCTAAAGCACATTATTCTTGTTGCTATTAAAGTGTTCATCACATTGTCTCAATATTTTTTTTTACATGTATGTCAGCTCCTCAGATGAGTTTCTCAAAGTCCAGCGCCATGGCACATTGTCTAATGCTTAAAAGATTCTCATTAGGTGATTATTGAGTGACTTGTGGTCTAGAACCCTAGATAGTTGGCAGCTAAGGGAGTAAACAGGAACCAAACTAGAAGAATCAAACAATATATGACAGAAAAGTCTGAAAAGGGTGCATATAATATTTACATTAAGAGATATGATATTAAGAAAGTTCTTACACATTTCTTCCTGAAGCAAAGCCAGAATCCGGGCAAGGTACAATATGCCTTCTGCTGGAGTCTATGAAGGCTAAAGACAATCTCACATCTGGAACATCTGACAACTAGAAGAACAAAAAAACAGAAAAGTTTCTGTTTTCTCTGGAATTAGGGCATTTTGAGCAAATGAGCATCTTTTTAAAAGACTATATATATATATATATATATATGTTTATTTTTACCTAAAAATTAAAGAGGAAGTGGAATTTTTTGGCTTTTTTTTTTTTTTTTGTAATGGTTAAACTAGTAAAACCTTTAAAAAGTATTTTTGCAGTAGATATCAAGTCCCAACTGGGTCATTTGTTTTATTTAGTTAATTATTTATTTTTAGAGAGATAAAGGGAGAGATAGAAACATCGATGTCAGAAACATCGATCTGGCTGCCTCCTGCATGTCCCCACTGGGGATCAACCCCAAAACCCAGGCATGTGCCCTGACCAGGAATCGAACTGGGACCTCTCAGTCCATGGGACAACAATCAGCCACTGAGCCACACTGACCAGGTACTTTTTGGCATTTTCTTTGTTGATAATTGTAAGGTCAATACTTTGAATATTGATTATTCCTTCCTACCTGCCAAAATTGAAATCTGGTTAATATTTATTAGGTGTACAGGTTATTCCCAAATATGAATCACTGAACCTCAAGTTATCATTATTGGGCTTTCCTACAAAACAAAAACTCTAAAATCTACAAATCTTGAATATTAACTAAGTTTCTAGTATTTGTATATATATTTAGGAAATATTTTTAGAGCAATTTCAATACCTAGTTGAACAGCATATCTTTCTGAATACATTTTACTTTTTCCTTATTACTTCTCAATCTTAAGTCACCTCATAGTTACCGATCAACTAAATCTGAAATTGTTCTCACAATCTAAAGATTTTTTTGTGGGGGGAGGAAGGGCACTTCTAATGGCAATCAGAGGCTTATCTTTGTTACCTGAAAATTGTTAAGTGAGAGCTGGTTCTGTAGATTTCTTTTTTCCCCCCTCTGAGAATGTGTCTGAGCCTGCTGATCTCAAGATTTATCTGAAGAAATTAATGAGTCCCGAATTAGGACTCCAACCTCGGTTTTCTAACTCTGCTTTCAACAAGGAACTCTCCATTGGAAGCAGTTAGGGCTGATTCAGATAGTAATAAAATGGTACTTTGATATCTGTTTTTTTCTATATTCTTTGCATATAGGTTTCTGTGTCATCATCACTGTATAAAGAAGGGGTGAAGCCCTGGCTGGTTTGGCTCAGCGGTTAGAGCATCGGCCTGCGGTCCTGAGAGACCCGGGTTCAGTTCCTGCCAAGAGCGCGTACCTTGGTTGCAGTTTGTCCCCAGTCCTGTTTGGTCGTGCGGGTGGCAGCTACTCTATGTGTCCCTTTCACATCAATGTTTCTCTCTTCCAATCTCTCCCTCCCACTCTATCTGAACAAAAAATAGAAAAATGTCCTCAGGTGAGGATTAAAGAAAAAAAAAATTTTATGAAAAAACTATTAATATAAAATAGTTTTCAGCATAAAGTAGCACTCGACACCATTTAGATCCTTTTTCTTCCTCCTTTTCCCAAGCATAATTACGGACTGTTACACCCAGCTCAGTAATCTAAACTAGATTATTTTTCTAAACAACTCTTAATTCCTTCTCTTTCTTTCCCTCTTCCTGCATTTGGCATCTCTCAATGAACTGTTATAATATTCTCCTATGTGATCTCTTTAGAGCTACTCTTGTCTCTAATCCATCTTTCATACTTTATTCCAAGGAATATTTTTGAAATTTATCTCAGGGCCCATGGCTTCTCAGTTTAAAATCCTAAAATGATTCCCTATCATCTCCATTGGAGAGGCCAAACTATATAATAGGCATTTAAGCCCTCTTTTGAATGAAGCATAACTTTGGTATGAGATCTGAACTTGAATCATCCTAGACCATTTATGAGTGTGATCTGAATTAAGTTACTTAACCTTTTTTTTTTTAATTTGTCTTTATTGTTGAAAGTATTACAGATGTTCCTCCTTTTTTCCCCCATTGACCCCACTCCCATCCCCCTCCTGCCTTCCCCACACTATTGTCTGTATTCATTGAGTATGCATATATGCATACACGTTTTTGGTTTACCTCTTCCTGCCCCTCCCCCTTCTCTGGGCGATTCATCAGTCTAACAACCAATTTGTATTTTTCTTTTTTTAAATGGACCATTTAATGTTTAGACATATATACATATATCGTT